GCTGCCCCCCCTGCTAGTGCTGCTGCTGGTGCCTCTGCCGGCTTCTCTACCGGCTCTGCTGCCGGCTTCGCTGCTGGTGCCTCTGCTGGCTCTGCTTCCGGCTTCTCTGCCGGCTCCTCTGCCGGCTCCTCTGCCGGTGCCTCCGCCGGTTCTGCTGCCGGCTCCTCTGCCGGCGCCTCCGCCAGCTCTGCTGCCGGCTCCTCTGCCGGCTTTGCTGCCAGTGCCTCCCCAGGCTCCGCCCCCGCTGTCCTGGGCTGCCCAATGCAGCAGCTGCGCCCCTCAGGGTGTGGGCTTTCCCCTCGAGCCTCCGCTCACCTGCTCCCCTCCTGCGCCCTCGGGGCAGCTTTTTATCTCCGCCAGGTGGCGTCTCCAGCTGACGTCACCCGACCCCAGCTGAATATGAGCGCAGCTGACGAACCGCATGGGTGGTTTCACCGCACACGTTTCCCCACGCCTTTCAGACCCTGCAGGAGGTAAGTGGGGGCTTTCTTTTGCTTTGGCCTGGGGTCCTCCTGTAACCCTGGCTCCCCTGGGACACTCACAAAGTTCATTTACCTGAGATTTACTTTTTTAACTGCACAATAGTAATAAATAGCCTAGGAATAAATCTAAAGGAAATGTGAGATCCCAGCCTATGTCCTGAAATAGTGGGTTTCTCCTAAGCGACCATTCACAGAGACTAAGTATGCTGGATGACAAAGCAGACTCTTCCTGGTGGGCTGCTACAAATTAGTAGAAGGTCAACACATAGTAATCAGCAGGGATCCTGGTTTTCTCCGATTTAAAAAAAATCCCCAGCTTTTGGATATAAAAAATTAACCTCAGGTAATCAGGGTGTAGTAACCTGTACTGTCATCCAAGGGGATGGGACAAACTAACCACATCGATACTGAATGTCATGTATATTTAGCAAAGACAAGGACATCCATGTTTAAAATCATGTCAGGTGGTCCTGTTTTACCTTTGGTCACACTCTATGGATAGATGATCCCAACCTGAGGGAGCTACTAGATACAGAGATTGCAGAAGTGATCATGGAACATAACAATTCCAAGAAAACAGCCTAGACACATTGACTCATTTTGTGTTCCAGCATTTGACCCTAAATGCCAAATTCTACAGCTCTTATGTTCACGAGGTCCCTTCCAGCCCAAAACTTCTGTGAATCTGTGTGTGTAAAGGGAACTCCTATTGACCTGCTTAAAGATCATAGTTTCATAGTTTCATAGTTTTAGGGTCGGAAGGGACCTAATAGATCTTCTAGCCCGACCCCCCGCCAGGGCGGGAGAACAACAAAAGAACCCTAAACAAAAAAACGGGACTCAAATGAGTCCAGCCAGGTAGGTATCCAGCCTCTTCTTAAAGATCCGCAGGGTAGGGGCCAGCACCACCTCCCTTGGAAGTTGGTTCCAGCTCCTAGCCGCCCTAACTGTGAAGTAGTTTTTTCGGATGTCCAATCTGTACCTCCTCTCCATCAGCTTGTGCCCATTACTCCTTGTTATGCCAGCAGGGGCTAGGGGAAACAGCGTCTCCCCCAAACCCTTCTGGTTCCCCCTAGTGAGTTTATAGACGGTCACCAGGTCCCCCCTCAGCCTTCTCTTGTGGAGGCTGAATAGGTTCAGGTCCCGCAGTCTCTCACTGTAGGGTCTGCCCTGTTGTCCCCGGATCATGCGGGTGGCCCTCCTCTGGACCCTCTCCATGTTGTCCACATCCCTCCTGAAATGGGGCGCACAGAACTGGACACAATACTCCAGCTGCGGCCTGACCAGCGTCGCATAGAGGGGGAGGATCACCTCCCTGGCTCTACTCGAGATGCACCTGTGGATGCACGACAAGGTCCGGTTAGCCCTGCCAACCATGACCTCGCATTGTCGGCCCATGTTCATCTTGGAGTCAATAATGACACCAAGATCCCTTTCCGCCTCCGTGCTCTCAAGTAGGGAGTTCCCCATCGTATAAGTGTGCTGCTGGTTCCTACTACCCAAGTGCAGCACCCTGCACTTGTCCGTATTGAAACACATCCTGTTCCTGTTTGCCCACCCCTGTAACCTATCCAGATCCTTCTGCAATCTCTCTCTCCCTGCTAGCGTGCTCACCTCCCCCCAAATTTTGGTGTCATCAGCGAATTTAAACAGGTTGCTTTCCACCCCAACATCAAGATCGCTGATGAAGAAATTGAACAGCGCAGGCCCCAGGACCGAGCCCTGGGGGACTCCACTACCCACCTCCCCCCAAGTCGAGTATGATCCATCCACCACCACCCTCTGAGTGCGACCCTTCAGCCAATCTGCAATCCATCTGACCGTGTAGGCATCTATGCCACAGTCGCCTAGTTTATTAATTAGGATGGGGTGAGAGACGGTGTCAAAGGCCTTGCTGAAGTCCAGAAAGACTACATCCACCGCGACACCTGCGTCCATGGCCTTTGTGACCTGATCATAAAAGGCAATCAGGTTGGTCTGGCATGATCTCCCCCTAATAAATCCATGCTGATTGCCCCTGAGCATCATTTCTGATGCCGGCCCATCACAAATGTGCTCCTTGATGATCTTCTCAAAGAGTTTCCCCAGGATTGAGGTGAGACTGACGGGCCTATAGTTGCCCGGGTCCTCCCTTTTCCCTTTCTTGAAGATGGGGACCACATTAGCTACCTTCCAATCGTCTGGCACCTGGCCCAAGCACCACGATCGCTCGTAGAGCAGTGCCAGGGGCCCTGCAATAACCCCAGCTAGCTCCCTCAGCACCCTGGGGTGGAGAGCATCCGGACCCGCTGACTTGAACTCGTCCAGCCCCTCCAGAAGCTCTCTAACCCGGTCCTCCCCAACCTGAGGTCTGAAGGCGACCAACCTGAGGTCTGAAGGCGATCATGAGATTCTCTCTTAAAAGCTTTCATGAAACACTCACATGAACTCCTACTTACAAAAGGACAATAAACTGGTTTAAAAGATTTATTTTAAGACAATACATTTCTCGCTCATAGCCCCATTTGTTCAAATTAGCCAAAAGGTGTTTGTATTTTTAATTAAGTGCTGTATTTCAAAAATAATTAAAACATTGTTAAATGTTGCTACTATCTCCTCAATAATACTCTAACCATGAAACTAAATAAAATATGGAAAGACTTATTAGCAATTAATACATTCTGGCAGAGGAATTATAAGGTATACTGGTAATAGCAGTAGCAACCTCAACAGTTTAACTTCCTTGTCAAACATTGGCCTTAAAAGGGAAGTAGTGTGTTTAGACTACTTCATTCACCAGCCAAAATCCACTAAAAGAGTAATTTTCATTTTATAAACCTACTCTTTTTCATGCACAGCTGAGAGTACTTGCAAATGGGTTCACCTTATGAATGACTATGATTGTTACAATAAAAAACCAGTAGTAACATAATACAATGAAATATTTATCACAGACTACTTATTGCAAAACCCTGTGCTTCAATTCCTGTAGCATCAGACAGACTACACTGGCAACAGAATCTTTTCTATATAGATAAATTTTAAAAAACCTTAATTTTGCATTTAGTTTCCTGACAGAGTCATTAATAATGCTTAAGACAGATGTGGGTATTTGACCCCCACTTCTCCTCCCCCAAAGGGCACAAGGTGAGATGTAGCTCTCTAAGGTTTGCCGCAGAGGACTGTAGCCTTTAAGAAAGAGTTTAGGATTGGGGTGGGAAATTATTTGGGCTGAAGGCCCACTTAGGGAGTTTTGGTGAGCTGTCACAGGCTGCATGAGCATTAGGCCTGTGCAATATGGCTAGAATTTGCTTCGGATTTGCCTGATTTGGGGGGCGGTGATTCGAATCACTGTCCCGAATCAATTTGGCCAAATCTGATTTGGAGATATGGCTGCTGCTGAATCAGGCAAATCTCTGAATTGGACAGGCCCCATCCCCTGCCTGCTCTCCCAGCCTTGGCAATGGCTGCCATGCACACCCCAGCCCCCGGCACTTCGAAGAAAAAAAAAGCGCCCACTCACCAGGTGCTGCCCAGTGAAGGCGGGGATCCCTGCTTCCCCCCACTGCCCCCGGTGTCAAGGGAAAAAAACCCTCCAGATTCACTGGGTCCTGCCCAGTGGGGGGCGATCCCTGCTGCCCCGCACTGCCCCATGCTGGCCGGGGGGCGCTCTGCATGAGTCCTCAGAAGTCCTGAGGCTGCTGCAGCAGCTGGTGAGACCAGGGTTTTTTTTGTTTTTTTGCTTAAAAGGCTGGAGCTGGGGTGGGCGGGGCAGCCATGGGGGGCTAAGGAAGCAGGCAGAGGTTGGTGGTGTCATGGCAGAGCCCCCTACACAGCATGGGCCAGTGGGGGGCAGTGGGGATCACGCCCCCTGGCAGCACCCAGTGAGTGGGGGCTTTTTTTTAAAGCACGGGGAGCAGGCATGGGTCAGGGGGGCTGGGGAAGCAGGCAGGGGATGGTTCCTGGCAGGGGTCCCCCCATGCTCCCCTCCCGCCTCCTCAACCTTCCCTCCCCTGCCCGCTACTTAGCAGCTCCAAGTCTGGATCCGGCTCCCTGCTTCAGTAGGCAGGGACTGCCCAAATCACCAAAGCTCTCCAAATCATTTCCAAATTGATTCAGAGAGTTTCAAATTGATTCAGGCCTTTTAACTGGTCCCCTGATTTGATTTGGATTCAGCTATTGAATCAGGCCAAATCTCCTCCAAATCAAATGAACACCCGAACCTTCTCACAGCCCTAATCAAATATTATCTATGTTATACCTTTATGAATCTAGTCAAAAGTAAAAACATCCACGTTTTTCTCAAAACACATTTTCCTCAAAACCCAAATTTTGAAAACCCAGTTTCAATAATGATTTAGAAGTTAAAATCTAACCAGGGTGGAGTGAAACTGTCATAGGAAATCTTATTTTAGTGAATAACATTTGCCAGAGGTTAAAGGAAACAAAATTGTCAATCACCCCTGTTCTTTCATGTTCCGTTGTTGACTAGACAGGAAGCTGGCAAAATCTGACCTTTTCCCCTTGAAAAAAAAAAAGCAAAGTATAACTTTTATTATACTCTTTGAGCTGGTCATCGTGTTTGGTAAATTAAAACATGTTTCATAATCAACCAAGGAAATGTTTAATAATATTTGGTTTACAAAAAAGCAACATGCTAAATGGTTTAAACAAAATTAAGTTTACATATTTTTTATGGAACAAGCCAAAACAACATGTCATTCAAAAGTGTGGCTAAAAATCATTCTGTTCTACAGTAGGTCTGTGACTGGCAGGAAAAGATAAAATTAGGTAAAAAAAAAATCAATCATTTGTCTGAGCTTGCACTGAACATATAGAGATCAGTGCCAGTGAACACTAGGGCTGTGCGAAACGGCACCATTCCGTTTCAACTTCTCTTTCAACATTTCAACAGAACAGCATTTCATTTTGAATTTTGTTTTGATTCAAAACCGCTGTTCTGTTTCGTTTCATCGAAACAGTTTTGCTGTTTCGATGCCATTTTGACATTTCAACCATAGGCTATAATGGGGAAGCTCGAAACAGCCTCATTTCTGGCTTGATTTGGATGAAACTTGCAGGAATGGTAGCCCCTTCTCAGAGAAGGAAGCCTGCCAGATGTCAAGGAGATAGGTGCACGGGCTTCTGGGTTCTGGGGCCCTGCACCACTGGCTGCTGACAGGCAAAACTCGTGACATGGGTGCTTGTGCAACTGACTGTGTCTGTATTAGGGCACAGCAGGGAGAAAACAGTAGGCTTCCTAGGCCCTGCTGTGGCCATGAAGCCTGCCAGCTGTCAAGGAGATAGGTGCAGGGGTGTCTGGGTTCTGGGACTCTGCACCTCTAGCTGCTGACAAGCAAAACACAGCTCAGTAACTGACACCAAGGCAGAAAGCAGGGCAGTTCAAAGAATGATGCCTTTTATGCAGGTTTTCCATCCCTCCCACAGAGCCCTGGGAGTGGAAGAGACCTCAGGGAAGGGTGACAGTCACTGGCCAGCTCCACAGTCAGTAATGAGAGCACTCCTTCCCCACCCCCCACTTTAGTGTCTGTTTCCCTGCAGGCAAGCCCAGCTTGAGCTTTAAAACTAGAAACGTTTTTAAAAATTTCAAAACGTTCACTTGCCTCGGTCCATTTTGAGCTCTGTGTTTTGTTTCAATTTTGCTGTTTCAAGCTCAAAACAGTATCAAAATGAAACTGCCAGTGAAATTTCACACAGCCCTAGTGAACACACTGATCAAGGTAACAATATGGACATAAATATTTTTCTGTGTCATTTATTTTAAGAAAACAACCACAAAAGTTCTGAAACGTGCAACTATTTTATGCCTTTCTGATTATAAATAATAAAATAGACCTATAT